TCAACTTTATTATCCCACCGGTTTATCATTCGATCGACATGATAATCTCTACGTTGTCGATCACGGAAATCATCGAGTACAAAAATTTAGTATCGCATAAACTCAATACATTATTTTTCTTTCAATGAAGAAATTTTTTTAAAGGTAGTTCATTGAATAAAGTAAAACCTCTTCAAACACCTGCTATTCCCGATTCTCAAATGTTCTATGTTCCTGAAGCGAATACAAAAATATCAAAATTTATACTTATGTTATGAAAATGGTGATATTGATTATAATGAACTTTTCGACGAGTTATCTTATGTTGTTGCTAAAAATCTTAAATCAAATGAAACTGAATCATCATCACATTATGTTTAGTAAAATTTTTTCTAAATGTATCTTATGAATTTTCCTATTGATTTTCTCTATTCAATAAATTTTTATCGATGCTATAGATTATCATAATGAAAATGAACATTTTTTAATTCGATATTTTCCTTTTTCGATATTTTTCCCTTTCGATATTTTTCTTTCGGCATTTTTCTATTCGACAATTTTTCTTTCGATATTTCACCTTTCGATATTTGTCTTTTCTATATTTTTTTTTCGATATTTTTCCTTTCGACATTTTTCTTTTCTTCCTTTTTCCATCATACCGGGGTGGTGCATATGGGTCTTTCAGTTATACACTACACCCGCACCCGATGGATGAGTAATTATTTCTTTTATTTTTCAATTGAGATGAAACTAGTAAGGATGAATGAGATATGTTGAGATTATGGCTTCGTCTTTAAGAAGAACTTTCGGGTAGTGTCTAAAAGTCCAGCCTGGAACTGCTTTGGTGTCCATAGCACACGATCGGGCTTTCAGACTCACGGACGCATGGCATTGAATGAGTGTTTGTGAGTGATGTAAGTCTGCCCGCGTGCGCATGAGCATTACGCTCGCCATAGCTTGGCCAGGGTGGTTCCTGGTCGCACGCTTTGGTGCGAGATTAGAATAGATTTCAATGCATCTTTCATTCAATCTCGAATTATTTGAAAGAAAAAAAAGAATGACAAAAGAAATTAATAATCGTATTGAGTTTATGCGATACTAAATTTTTGTACTCGATGATTTCCGTGATCGACAACGTAGAGATTATCATGTCGATCGAATGATAAACCGGTGGGATAATAAAGTTGATTCGACTTTTCTCCTTTACCGTTTCCACCAACAATAACACTTCCGTGTGTAGCTCCTTTTGACCATCGCATGAGTCGATGATTACCAGATTCAGCCACATAGACAGTACCCAATTGATCAACAACGACTCCTTCAGGTTCATTCAATTGTGTAAGACTATTTCCTTCTCCTTGACCACCGGCTACGACAATGCCTTGTGTTGCACCTTGTTCCCATTTCATGACACGATGATTGTAATGATCAGACACATAAACTGAATGATCTCGATCGACAAATATGTAGTGAGGATAAAAGAGTTGATCGAGACCATTTCCATTTCCATTGCCACTTGCAATCACTGTTCCTTTAGTGTCACCAATGTTATATCGTCTTACTTCATGTCTTTCAACATCAGTGACATAGAGAGAGCCATTGTTGTCCATTGTCAAACTAATGCAAGAGATATTTGAAATAATTTTTTCACCACGAGTATCATTTCGACGAGGTCATCGAACTACACTCTCATTCCCTCGGTCGCAGATGATGAGAGTATCACTCTCTTTGTCGATAATCACATCTGTTGGGCGATATAATTGATGAGCTCCATTTCCTGCTCCATTTCCACCAGCAACCACTTTTCCATTCGTTGCACCAGATTTCCATTTCACACTACGTCTATTTCCAGCATCAACGACATAAATCGTTTGATCTTCATCGATGTACAAACCCCATGGGTTAAAGAATTGGTTGGTTTTACTGCCATATCCATTTCCTCCAGCAACAGTGATTCCATTCTTTGACCATGTTGCATCCGGATGAATATCAATGGAACTTGCACGCATCGGTACTAAAATGAAAAAGAGGTATGAAGTAGAAATAAACATGGATTTAATTGAAAACGAATTCTTCATTGTGCTAAGAAATTCATGAGATATTTGTGCTGGAAAAAATCTTAAAATCTGACTGGCGTTTGGAAAGAAAATCAGTCGGAGATCGGCTATACTTTTCAGTTATATGATGTTGGGAAATGGATTCACACGTGATGTTCTTTTTGTTTGACTTTTACTTGATTTAGTCGACGTTGGCATATGGAAAGATTGGTTTTATTTGTGTGTAAAAATATCCAAAAGCTACTTTAAAATTGTCTAATATTAAGAGTCTTTCACCACATGATTTATTTTTCTTGAAAAGTAATGGAGAACAAGTTTTTCTCAGAACAGAGTGTAGGTCTTAATTTTATGGTTCTAGTCATTTAAATCCTTTATAGTCCACTATATCACATAAAGTAATAAGCATCCCGTTATCGATTTCATGATATTCATTGAAAGTTAGAGTGGAAAACCGAGGTTTTTTCGTAAGAATGTCATTAGTGTGACGTAAATGATATTAGATGTTCTATAACCGCCATTAAATCGATTTGTTCTCAGAAAAATCAAATCTCGATCGTTTTAAAAAGTTTTCTAAGTCAATTATTTACTGAGAATAAAAAAATATTGTTGTTTTAGAAAATAAATCGAGATTTCTTTTACAGATCGATGTGCTCGAATTTAGAAGTGTGAATTTTAATTCTAATCAAAATTTCACCTAGAATGCCAAAGGCATAATCTAGGGAGGCTACAAGCATCGTGCCAGATAGTACAGACGTCATTTAGGCTGTGAGAAGTGTCATTCTAGCTGCGTGAGTGATGATATCAATTACATCAGATAACATTTACCTGTAGTTGAAGAAGGCATGTAGTAGAAATATATGTGGGTAGCAAATGTAATGCTAGCCTGTGCATAGCACAATACGATACAGTCACTCTTACTAGAATAATGGTAGGACTATTCGAAATGCACCGGGTTTAATGCTTATTTGTGAGAAAGGGCTTTTCTCAGAGTATCAGACCCTTCATTTTTGCCTCGCAGAGTATGGGCGTGAAGCTTTCCTAGCAGATCCACGACCCATGCGCGTCTGTGTGTACATCATTATTCCTACTGTCTGCTGCACAACAGTTGATGTTTCTCACTTAGTACATGTGGCATCTACGAGAATGTCCGAAACATATCAGTCAAAAGCTGTTGCATCTTCTCGGATTCTTTCAGCATGCTGGACAATGCTTGTAGCCTTTTAGAGAATGTGTACATCATTCGCGATGGTCGCTTCCAGCATCCTATGAGTTGTCTGTAGCATGGCAGGGGATGACTGTGGCATCCCAGATAATGCATCTGGCGCTCCAGATGATGCGATCTGCTTTTTAAATGACACTTCCAATTTCCCAGAGGGTCTTCCTGTGATCCCAGATAATGCATCCTTGTGTGCCAGGTGGTGTGTCTACGATTTTGAATGATGTATGTAGCATTTCAAAGGGTGCATCTTGGATGATAGATGATCCCGCTAATATCCCAGATGATGCTTCTAGCATCCGGGATTATGGATGTGAAGTTTGAGATAATGTATCGAGCATCTCAGATGATGCTTACGGGACCTGCATGGAATGCTAGAAAAATTTTTCGCCCGCCTTTTAAACAAATATTCAGAGTTTGGTTCTGGTACATTTTTTCAAAGTATCGTCCCTGAGCATCAATGCACTAGTGCATACGAATTAACCAGTCCGTGAAACAGTTTTTGAAACCATCGTTTGTGAGACTGTCAATGGTTTGGTTTAAGGTCTCCCTCCACTTTCCGGTATTTCTCGAGAACGGTTCAACAAAAATCATGAAACTTTCAGAATAGGGTGTGTGTGGTTGTGGATATGATGGTAGATATGCGTCTTTTCTCACATCACACCGACACTCACACCGACACCCACACCGACACCCACACCGACACCCACACCCACCCACACCTTTTAATGCGATTTTTTTCCATTTATATTTTGAACGCTCATTAGGCAGCTGCTCTGTTTGACTTAAACTACTGAGATAACAACCATCTACTATATGTTTCGGTTATTCTTGTTGAAATCAACCAATAAACATATAAGTAAACAAATATGATGTGGTTTTTAGAAATACCATCGATATCAATAATTATTCCTATACAAAAATAGATTCAACGAAAGAAAATTCTATTTTACTTAGATTTTTACTCTATTTCGTTCGTAGCATAAAAGAATTGTCTAAAAATTTTCTAACTGATTTAAATTGATTGTGATTGATACATGAAATCAGAATTTATTGTCATAATTTGAATGACGTATGTGTGTATGTAGAAAAATTGTATAGATTGATTTTCCTTTTTGTTTTCATCGAATGGAAATCCTCAGTATTTTGTAATTAGTTTTGTAATTAATTTTTTTTCTTTGATTCATAGCTATATAAATACAATTCGTTTTAACGGATAAATTATTTATTTAGGCTCATCTCTTCCACGTTGACGCCATAGTGAAATATGTATCCAATGTAGAAAATAAAAATGATCTCTAAGTTATAGTCTGTTCCATTGATTTTGAAGTGCTCTAGGTGCAGGTTGACATAATCGTTAATACCATCGAATTGAATAATGACCACACAAAAACTGCATATCTTTTTTCTTTTTCTTTTTATAAAATATAAACGTGCAAAGTACTTTTTTCGTAAAAGAATTTATGATTCTTTTCAAAACAATCATTTTATTAAACTTTCATTATGAAGAAAATTTAAAGAATACATTCTGATAGAACTCTGTTTGTTATATTTCAATCATGAATCTTTTTCAACGATCAATTTTTTTTGTCAAACAAAAAAAAGTTCGTTGTTTTAAATAATTATTTGCTGCTACATCATTATCGAATATCAATCAAATCATTTTCTTAATTATGAGACTTATACTTTTATTTGTGCTGCGACAGCGTGAGAATGGTAAGTAGTAGTAGCTGAATCTTAATACTACTAGATTCAGCAGTATGTGAATGAATGAATATCGCTGCATATCAATTATCAGATCATCACAAAAGCCTTTGTTTTATGAGAAATTTCTATGAGAAATATCTTCCTGTTCTACTTTTCTATGCCACGCAAGAGCTTTCTATGAACTTGTCTCTACAAAATTTGAACAACTGAAAGTAGCATGATACACTACTGTAGAATTAAAAAATTAAACGTATGCTTTCATATATCTTTATAGAAGACGTTTATCATCATTGTATGTTAATAATATAGTTTCGTTTTTGATGGATGAAAATAAATTATGAAATGTGAAGGAAACTTTTTGAGAAAGTACTTTTGTTGTTTATTTATATAGTAATTAAATAAGGTTGTTTTGCCTTTTGAAGAAATTTCAGTTTTAGTGAAAAACAACCAATGATATTTTAGAAATCGACTCATTTCTCGATTTATAATTTAACCCATAAATAAATGCGAAAACATCGGATTTAAATTCGAGAGTTATGTGTACTTCAAAAAGTGAAAAGGTATATTCACTTTGTTTTTTATCATCTGAGACATATCTAGACTATTTGCTTTCTTCATGTAGTTTTTCTGCATTTTGAGACCTTTTTCGCGGGTGTTTTGTTAGAAAACTACGATTTGGTTCAAAACTAATATCACATTCAGAATCAGGGTGTGGGTGTTGGTGTGGGTGTGGGTGTGGGTGTGGGTGTGGGTGTGGGTGTGGGTATGGGTGTGGGTGTGGGTGTGGGTGTGGGTGTGGGTGTGGGTGTGGGTTGGATGTGGGTGTGAATCTCCTTCAAGTCTACGCACACACCCACACCCTTAACCAGTAACACAGATGCTTCAGCATCATTGCCATTGAAGTTAAATAATGTCAAAGTGAAAGCATTAAGTTTATATTATTTTTACTTCTAATACACGTAGTCAAGGTAAGTTTTGCAGAACTATCTGAACATGCTACCAATAAATTTTAGGGGCTACCTAGAAATACTACTGGTACCATTTCAGCTGCTGTCTGTGGCACACTAGCGCTGTCAGTAGCATTTCAGGTGTTAGCTGCAGCATCTGGAGTGTTGCTTGTGACATTTTAGGTATTGTCTGTAGCATCTTAGGTGCTCCCTGGAATGTCTTAGGCGGTATCTGTAGAATCGCGAGTGTTATTTGCTGTATTTCAGGTCTTTTCTGTCGCATCTCAGATGTTGTCTGGAGCATCTTAGACTTTATTATAAGCATCTCGAGAATTGTTTGCAGCGTCTCAGGTGTTATCTGTGGCATCTTGCATGCTGTCCATAGCATCTTAGGTGCCAGCTGTAGCATTTCAGGTATTGTCTGTAGCAGTCCATGGGTTCCGGTATGGATTTAAGTGAGCCTGGTGTGGTTATGATTGTGTAGAGGGTGACGGCGGGTGGGGATGTGAGCCTGCTTTTCACCTGTAATCAAGGCTGCAATCACCGCCAAAGCTACAACCACATGTACTTCTTCACCCTATACTCAGACGCTTCAAAATCCTAATTTTCGACATTTTTCTTTCGACATTTTCACCTTCGACGTTTTTCATTCGACATTTGACCACTTTCTCAATGCAGCCAGTACTTGTCTATTGAATAGCTGTCAAAATATTTCGTTGAAATAAAAATCAAGATAGTTTTATACTGTTTCTGATGGTCTGCTGCTTTCTTTTCTTTTTATCATTGACTGGATAATGCAACTAGTTAGTCACAGATAATCTTTTCTGGTCAACAGTGAGGATTAGTTCGTTCTCGACTCGTACCTACAATTTTCGTACCTGTATCCGTGCTTGATTACGGGCCATGTTGTAGTACTCTA